AAGGTCCGTGCGACGTAATTCATTCTGATGATTCTAGGCAGTACAAAAGTTCCGGAAACTCGAGTAGGTCCCGCGCGCCTTCCTTTGAGATCGATCACGCCGGTCGTCCCTCGCACAATATTACAACGAATCCGAAAAATGCGCGAATGATGATATGCGCGAGAAAGATTACGCAACTTATTATGCGTGACTCTAGACAATTTTCCCTTCTCCGATATAGAAATCCTAATAGACGAAAACAACACAGTAATTACGAGACGATACTTTGATGTTACATTAATGTGACCAAAATCGCGGCGACTGTCGGCGTATCCGCGGGAGAGAGAGCCTCTCTTAATATACGCGCGGGAGAGAGCACGCGGTCGGCCGGGCGCCGGGATAAATTCTACGCGAACGAAACTCTAAATCGAACCTCCCGAAATATCACGAAATTACACCGGTGAATCTAATAACCGGCCGCGGCCGTGACACGCTTCTCTCCCGAATACGATACAAAAAAAAGAATTTAGCGGCTTTACAAAGTATATAGGGCCGTTCGTCTCACCGGTATCGTTGGGTCCTCTGATGCTTCGGCATCCGCGCGCAGGAACCTCTGCTCTCGACCACGCTCCGCCAGACAGTGACGAGCAAGAGGCCTGCCGGGATCACGCCGATAATGAATTTGGGCATTTTCCACCCGTGGCGTTCCTTATCTTGGCAGGGCCGCCGGGTGCCCCGCGGGGCCCTGCAAATTTGCTTGATGCAAATTTTCTCTCGCCGTTCCTCTTTTCCTCTGCATTGAGTTCCGCTGTTCCTCTATATTGGTCGTCGGGAAGACTCATACGAGCGCACCTCTTTGCGGTTCCTCCCAAAAATCCGCCAGATCGATTGTTTGATCGATGGTGAAATTTTGTGTATCCGGATCTGCGGAGGCTCGAGGCAGAGTATCTCCCGCGCCTTTTGTTTCCGGGGCTCTCTCGCCTCTTGCGAGAGAGTGGTCATCCCCGTCTCTGGTCGGAATCTCTGTGAAAGAAGGAACATTTTACGGCGGTACCTAGGTTCTTAACGGGAGGAGCAATCCAGAACATCTATGTGAAAATAATATTTACCGGGCGTGATCCGGACTTGGTGGCCTCTGCTCGGTCCTAAATCGTCCTCTTCGTCCTCTCCGTTCTCTCAGGCTTTCTCTCTTTCTGTTTCTCCGGTTGAAACACGTACCCTATGCAAAATTGCTCGCCGAAAACGCAAAAATTGCTCAAACAAAAATCATAAATAAAGTAATTCGCGAAACGGATGCGCGAAGCGCATCCTCCGACGCGGTAGTAAACGCAAAAATGATTTTTCGGGTGCTCTCTCTCTCTCAAAGATTGGCGAGAGAGCAAAGGTTCCCGAATTTCCCGCCTTCCCGGCCGGGCCTTCGGCCCTTGTGACGGACAGTAAAAAATGTCACGTCACAATATATATATATATATATATATAACCAAAAGACAACTTAAAACGAGAGTTAAAGAACATGTAAATAATATAAAGTTAGATTCGTTAAGACACTCGGTCATCTCGGAACATATTCTTAATTACCAACACTCATTTAATTGGGAAGACATAAAAATTTTAGATTCCGAATCTAATTTTCAGAAGAGAAATGTTTCTGAAATGATTCATATAAAGGAACAAAAAAACGGTCTAAACTTAAAAAAAGATACCGATATGCTTGACGAGTCATATTTTGACATTCTAGAAGAATTGTCGTATAAATAAATAATAATAATAATAGGAGTCACGGTTTGAATTCGACATATCATATTGTGACACTGTATAATAAACACATTGACTTGGCGGAATCTTGACTAATCATCAATTTAAGTAAGCACTTTTAATCATAATCAAGATCTTTCATAAAAAAATAACTAATTAATATAAATTAATATACCAAAAAAATAAAAATATACTTAAACAAACACGGTGAAATACACTACAATGATGAACCTATTCGGAAATATGCTTGATGATGGGGACTAACTTTTTGATGCTGGATAACATCTAATTGTTTCAATTCTCATATTAAGCAGTTCTGATGATATTCTCAACTAATAATGTGCAAAAGGATTGATGACGTGGAATGGACTGTCAACTTGATCTAATAACAACAGTGAGCTCGTTTGCATGTTTTTTGACATATTCAAAAGTTACCATCTCAGTTAAAAAATGGTTAGCCGATCAAAAACAATATCTATTTTTAATAAATGATATAAGCGTCACCCAATATAAATTTAATGACTCATCAAACCAAAGGTTCATTACAAAATAGACTCCAATGCGTAATATTTCTTAATTTTATTTTTATATATTTACTGAAGAAGGCTGAGGTAACAGCCGAAACGTTTATTTTTATTTTTTATTAATATCATTGTTTTACATTAGCTGTATTGTGTAAGATGGAAACATGCGACGAATCGAAGTCATGATGAAGTGAAGCTCTGTGTTTACTAATGACCGAGTAATTAGATTCATGTTTCTTAATATTATAGAATTATGTTCTTTTATGCGTGTCCGAAGGTAACGTTTGGTTTGCCCGATATAACATGAAGTGCAATTCTTACAAGAAATTCTGTAGTGTGAGCCTTCCCAGTGAGAAATGATAGTTGAATCGACGTCGATTTGTTGTCGAATTGATGTCGAATCGATGACGATTCGACCAATCATTTCTCACTGAGTTACTTCATCATGACTTTGATTGGTCGCATGTTTCTATCTTACATAATGAAGCTAATGTAAAAAAAAGAGAAATAAGTGAAATGATTTTTATCAAAAAACATAAGAATTCGATAAATTTGCAAAGAAACACGGAAAATTTAAATTCTATTTATGACGATATTCTTAATCTATTTTAATCCTTTTTAATGTATTATATTAATTTATGTTATTATTGCATTATATTATTTTATTATTTTTACTTTACCTTTAATTATTCAGTGTTAGGTGAACATGATGTAACATTAAATCATGTTTAGTACATATGTGAAGTAAAGAACGAGGTTTCATTTGTTTTGTATCGCTTCATGATGAACATTGTTATCACGGTTGTGAACAAATACCTACTATCTCGTTATTTAAGATGTATTAATTAATATTAACGTTTAACATCAGCCTAAAGAGGACCCAATTCATCGATACGTTGCTGCACAAATAAATTAACACCATTAATAATAGCCAGTTGGTCGTTTAAATATTTTCCCGTATATATATATATATATATATATATATATATATATATATTGTATATATATATATATTAAATTTCTGATTTTGCATTTTATTTAAAAGCATCTTTATTTAGTGTAACTTATGGTAAACTCACTCAGCGGAATTTCCAATTCTATTCAGTAAAGATTCAAATTATTCACTTACAAGTAAAGTTAACTTTCTGTTACTTTCCGATTTTGATGAAACTCGGTATACTTGTACAGTAGTCAAAAATAATAGACACGTATTTTTTTATATCGGTAATGGTGCACTTTTAAGGTGCACGCAATCAATATTATGTTCTAAAAAATTCATTTTGTCTCGCTCTTTGCCGAACCCAGGAATAACCAACGAGAAAGTGACGAGAATCTATATTCCCACTATTTTTTGTATTTCTATTATTTATTTTTTTTAATTTTTAGAGTCTTTTCGCGCGTCGCGAATACTTAGGAGGAACGATGCGGGAATTAATTAACGTTATGCAATGATTAATAGTAACTGAGTATATTCTTCAACGCAAACTATAAATGTTAATACATGTACTTGTATCGCTCGGATTAATAACGTAATGCGTCCGTGCGCGGCAACTGTCGAAGACGGAATCTCTCGTCATCTTAAAAATGTTCTATTTATACCTTGCCTCAAAAACGCCCTTCGCTAGGCTTCGAGAAGCTTCGCAAATTTTCTATCTATTTTACTTGTTTGTTTCTGTCCTACTCGTCTTTCGTCTCGTCTGTTATATTTTATTTATATTTATTTGTGCCTTTGTCCTTTTCGTATATGTGAGTGTCCGTGTTCGTGTGCGTGTTTTCTTTATTAATTTCAGGGAAGTATGTGACGATGTAATCGCCACAAATTTAAAAATTTTTAATATTTTAATTTAAAATATTTTTTTATATTATCTATGTACCATATAATCACGTCACTTCTCACTAATTTTTTTATTTTTATAATTTTCGCAGAAATAACATATAAAAAAAAATCTTTTATACATAACGAATTTTCACACCAAGTATACTTTATAATTGTTATATCGTTGCATAATGCACATGTATCTTCACAATTTTTAAATTTTATATAAATTTATAAATTATTCAATAAGTATTCGTGGTACAAAAATGGCTACTTACAAGAGAAACTACTTATGTAAGTTATAGATAATCCCGTAGATTATTGTTTTAAAAATTGTAAAGATACATGTGCATATTATGCAACGATATATCAATCATAAAGTGTGCTTGGTGTGGAAAAATCGTTATGTATGAAATATTTTTTTATCATTTCTGCAAAAATTATAAAAATGAAAAAATAAGAGAAAAGTAACGTAATTATAGATAATTTAAAAACAATTATAAAAAATTAAAATATTAAAAATTTTTAATTAAAAAAAATTTTTTAATTAAAAAATAAAAAATAAAAATAATAAATAATAAAAATACAAAAAGAAATAGTGGGAATAGATTCTCGCCACCTTCTCGTCGGTTTTTTTTTGGATTCGGCAAAGAGCGAGAAAAAATGGATTTTTCAGACCATAAATTGGTTGCGCGAACCTTAAAAGTGCACCATTGTCGATATAAAAAAAATACGTGTCTATTATTTTTTACTACTGTACAAGCATACCGAGTTTTATCAAAATCGGCGAGTAACAGAAAGGTAACTTTACTTGTTAGTGAAAATTCAAACTCTATTTAGCCGAGACTCGAATCTTGTTTAGCTGAGTGTCGATAAAGTAGGATTTGAATTTTTCCTATAAGCGAGATTTGACGTGATTCGAGTTTTCCCTCCCTAAAGCAGATAAGTTTCTGGTTTTAGGTTGTACGCAAAAGAGTTTTGCAAAAAATATTAGATTTGTTTTGTGTGTAAGGGCGTTTTGTGTGCAAGAATATCTTTTGGTTTCAAGAATTTATCATTGTAATTCTCGTTGATTGATAATTTAAACAATTTCTAACAATTTTATCATATTTTTACCTTATCTTTCTTACATATCTTTGTTGTACTTACATGATCTTTTGAAGAAATAATGTTTTTACTCCTGTGTAATATTATTGTGCCACTAAATAACGTAAATTTAAAATAGATCAATGTAATATTAATACTACATAAAATTTAGCTTTATTTTATACAGTATTTTGGGAAGCTCTGTTGATTCTGAATTAAATTATGGAAAAAATATATGCATAAAAGAAGGATATTAATCCTGTCGTAATTTTAAGATAACTGAAGAGAAAAGTAAACCATTTTACATTAGTTACATTGTTGCTATTACAAACTATATTAGGAAAATCTATTTTTCTACATCCAAACAATGATGTTGAGATTTAACATATTAAGACGAAAGAAGAAATTGTTTTATTTTTAACTTTAACTTAAATTGCATGTATGTCGCATCAATATTTAGTTACAATATTACATTTATAACAGGTATAATGGAAAATGTAAAAAGGACATTTGATGTAAACCAGAAGGCAATGGTCAACAAGCTACATAACATGCAGTGGCTGAAACATGCATCTCATTCATTGAATCCGTATGTTTAATCTTTACTTAAGATATAATTTTTGTATTGACATTGCTCTTGTGTGATATAAATTTTATTATTCATAATTTATCAATAAGTCAATCTATGTATGTATTTTTCTCCTTAGTAATACTATAGTTGTATAATGTATTAATAAAAAAATCTTATAATTATTGATTGTGCAATATATTACTTATATATAAAATATACAATTAATATGTAATTAATATATAAGTTATATTATTAATTTAAAGTATATAAAACTATCACAAGTTATACTTAAGTTTATAATATGCATCAATACTCTGGTGCATATGTGCAGGATCTTATATATAATAAATTAAGAAAAATAAAAATCTTTAAAGACAGAGATTATAATAAATCTTTTCAATAATGAAAAAAGGATGTAGAATCTTGCTCTTTTCGATAAGTTGGAATTTTTAAATTTTAAGATACATTAATACAATAAAAATATAAAATGTAGGATCTACAGTTCTGGGAACTAGTTCATACACAATTTATATTAATATTTGTCTTATATAAATTTTTAACTAGCTGGGTATATATAAATGGATGGATTAAAAAAGATATATTTCTTTTTGTAATATTGCTTCTGCTTATACTTGAAAATTATTTTTATCGATTTGTTATTTCAGTGGAAAGGTGAAGCGTATACAAAAGCTTGATGCGAATAATAAATTAGAAATTAAAGATTTATTAACAGAAAATATTGAGACATTATACTCAATTGAAAACTCTCACAAATATCATTCCATGAAGCCATACAAAAGAGATTTATCTATTGATGTAATGCAAGATGATGCATATTTACCTAACCCGTTTCCAAATTCCAAAATGTTGATTAATCGTAAGGATAAAGGAGAAAAAAAATATGTTAATGATTGCAAAAAGCATTGCAACAGCAAAATTGGATGCTCAATGTTATTCAAATAAGATGAAAAAAGATCAATCAAATAAAAAAATATCACAAAATAATGCTGAAGATATTATGCAGTAAGTGTAAAGAAAACTTAATTTTTTATATAATTATATATTTTTTTATTAATATTAAAATACTCAGTTTTCAGTAATCATACCTTAATACTTTTTTGCACAGAATAATGAGACCAATCAACTGGCATAAAGAAAACAGATAATTGTTTTAAAAAATATGTAATATTCAACATTCAGCTGCATACTTGTTTTATAAGCAACTATGTGTTTTTGTACACCACTTGATTGGTCTCATTATTCCGTACATAAAAGTGTTAAGGTATAATTACTGAAAACTGAGTATTTTATAAGATATATATATATATTTTACATTTTATGTCAAAAAATTGTTAACTTTAAACCTTTATAACTTAAAAAGTACTCCATAAAAATAATAATTTATTATAGGGCTTTAGAAAGCTGTTAAGATAATCTATAAAAATATGCAAAAAAAAATAGGTATTTCTATTTAAAAAATTAAAATTGACCTTTACGTGACTTTTAAATGATTTTACGAGATCAAATCAATGGCACTATCTACATCATTATATCTCCCTTCGAGTCAAACAACTTTTATTTGAAACATTTTTCCGTATCGTCCATATTTTTTTAGATATTTGCGTGGAAAAATTAAAATAAAACACTTTGTATATCACAATGACAAGTCATCAGTGCAGCAGTAATAAATAGCGTGTAAGATGCAGTTGTAGACAATTATTCATTTCGTTCTCGTGTTTTCTGCCTTTTTTCGAAAATATATGTCCCGATATCTTAGAAGAACTTTCTTGAGTTATCCATTTTCTTTCACTGTTCATTTACTGAATTCACTTATGGATGCGATCAGATTGATCGGAATCATTTGTTTGCTATCGTTTTACGGTCGTCTTAATAAGATGCGACCCTCTAGTCAAACGAACCCGTAGAAAAAATAATTCAGTCTGATTGAATAAAAAACGAGCTTAATCCCGATGTATTTTCCAGCATTGTAAGTATTACCTTTTTTTTAACTCATTAAAATTAAAATTTTCATTATTCTTATTAGCTGAATTTCTTCAATACTGTCAAATAATGATTGAAGAACGTGATCTAATATGGCAATTGCTGCTTCTTCTTTTTTTTCTCTTTTTTAAATTCAAAAACTAAATTTCATAAAGTTTCATACATATATTTATACATACATATATTTATACATATTATTAATTACATATAATATTTATTTTTTTAACTTGCTTTAAAGAACGATCATAACCCAGACAGCACACAATATTTATGATAAAGATTCATAAATATTTATGAATATATATTTTTTCAAATATATTATATAAATATTTTGAAAATGTTTTATAAAAACCTTTATTTAACATATTATAAAAACATAGATTAAATATTTCATATAATATTTATGGTATGTAAAGATAAATATTTATAGTAATTATTTTATAAATATTCTTTAATTAAATAATTGTTAGTTCTTTCATTTACCGCTATGTGACGTATCTCGTATTTGATTTTCGTCGTGAGAATTATATAAGGCTGGCAAAAACGGAAATTAATCAAATTAAAAATGCCATAAAATTATTTCTATTTTTGAGCTACATTCTGCAGAATGTCTTTTAATAGAATGTCTTGTAACAAATAAATTTACGTATATCTCGACGTGTGCGTAAATTTATTTGTTGAACTATTCTGTTGCCTAAGTAGTATATTCAGTGTATATTATAATTTTATATTCTATTTTAAAATAAATGTCTAATAAGTTATTTAAAATACTGCTTTGAAATACTTTAAAATATTTTACTCGGTATATTATATATATACTATATTATGAGTCATTCCACGTCAAATCGGCCACCCCCTGCTTAAAATTGTATTGAAATCTAACTTGAGATAACAAAATTTAATTTAAAGCTTCTAGATTTTGATACTGTCCGATGATTTTGAAAAAAAAAAATTAAAGTAGAGATTTTATATTCAATAATAAGTACTATCTTATAAAAACTACTATTTCTTGCAGATAAAGTGCAAAAGTCAAGTTTTCAATATACTTTTACCTGCTGAATCAGAATCTGAAAAACACATGTAAAAATATTAAAATAATATAAATAAATAATTAAATAAATTATATGTATATCTTGCAAATAAATACTTAGTTATTATTGATTAGGTGTCCACTTTTTTGTGAAAGATGAAAATATTTTTATTATTTCTAACAATGTTTTCTTTTCTTCTTAATACTGAATTTCTGTGCCATAACATTAATAGTTATTGTAATCTGCATAATTATACCATTTGTCAATATCAGTTTTTAATGATATAATGTTTAACATTATTGCATTGTAAAAGATTGATATCATCTCGTGCAACTCTACTTCATTAAAAGCTCATTAAAAATTTATATTGACAAATGGTATAATTGTGCTGAATACAATATCTGATTAATGTTACGACACACAATTATTGTATTAAAAAGAGAAACGTTCTTCAAAATATTTACACTAGTTTCAAAGATGATATCACTAATAACTATAAATGTATTTATTTGCAAAATTATATAATTTTTTTTCAGATTAGAATAAAGCAAAATTATGTTGAAAATTATTTTTGTACCTTATCTGCAAGAAATAGTACAGATTTGAATAATAAAAAAAAACACTAAAGATCATTTTCTATTCGACTGATCGAAGTCATTACCTGAAATTTTTCAAAATCACTAGACAGCATCAAAAACAATAGCATAAAAGTTTTAAGCTTAATTTTAGCAAATCTAATTTATTTTAATGTAATTTTTTTTAACAGGTCGATTCGGAATATAATTCATATATATACCTATTATATGTACCACTATTATTTCTCTCTCTCTCTAATAAAAATTTCTAATAAAATATTTGTTGTAACCTATTTAATGTGATTAAAGCAAATACATAATTTTATGTATATTGCAATTGGGATATATAGTCAATAAAATTATTTTAATTGCGATAATATGAGAGAGAAACATAGACAATAGTATAATCCTTACACAATTTTTTCTAAGATAATTTTGATTAAGTTTTACACAACATCGTGCAAAAATACTTCACCCTATAATTTTTTAAAATTATAATTACTATTAATTTTATAATTAATTTTTTTAATTTTAATTAGGTGTCATTAATTCTTATATAATTTTATTTTGGATTTCATAATTATTTACGATTATTATTATGAGAATTTATATTAATTACATATTGTACATGATGTTTTAAATTTATATTTTTATTATTATTTTAAAAACACCATTACTTCGAAAATGGATGTTATTCTCATTTTAACTGAACCTTCTTGCAAACAGAGATAATAAAAAATGCGGATTATCCCGCAAAATCGACACAAGATGGATCTTTCGACATTACACTGCATCCCAGGTGGCAATAACTCTCTACTCGTATTATTGGTACACGGTGTTTTTTGCAATAGCATTGTTTGGATCGCTCTTTGGCAAAGACAAATTGCTCGGTACGACTTTTTGGTCAATTATCGAAAAATATTCTAATATTGTCAATCAAACCACATTATTGGAAAAATATCTAACGATAAGAGAAAAATCTCAAATTTAAATATTGAACGAAACTTAAATATATATAAAAAGATATTATATGAGAAGACTAGCTCCCGCGCTTCGCACTCTCGGCACGCATTTATTAAGTTTGTTTGGTGTTCGCGAACGCGCTGCGTGAACAAAGGATCGCGCTGCACAAAGGCTGAGTCAGTTTTTCGTAAAACAAAGACTTTAATAATATCACACACGTATTGACAAAATACTATAACAACTTATTACAAAACCTTAATTATCTTTACAGTGAAATCGGAATCAAAAATCAAAGTGCGGAATAGCGGCGGTCGTCAACGAATTTTGCGGTTTATCGGATAAGCGGTTTGCGATATGTTTTCACGACGGAAAAGCGATAAAGCTGGCAAGCGGGGTGAGAGCTCCTCATTTATAATTTCCGGAGCGGAGCCCACCTTCGTGTGACGCGCCAATAATTTTGCGTCTTTTTAAAGTTGCGCGAGGTGACCTGAGCGTATTACGCGTAATTGGCCGCTGTCAAATTTGACAGAACAACGGCTGTTAGAAAGCATGCGCGAGCTGGCAATCACGATGATTATTGGCGAAACGAGGCGCCCGTGAGAAGCCGCGCATGCTCAAGAAAATATAATTATTCGGCGGAACGGTTGCGACACCGTTAATTGTTTATATTTCGAGCGTGTTTTTATACGACAGGATAATTTGTGTCGCGATATGTTTTCCAGAAAAAAACATATAAAAAACGATATGCCTGTTGACTTGCGATCGGAAGCGAATATTCTAGAATATTCCATTTAAAAATATAATATTTTATTACACAAGTAGTTTTCTATTATGCGTTTCAAACATTCCCGCCCGCCTTGTCGCACAGTGACAACATATTGTGGTATTTCGGTCGCGGAATCGCAAGTCGATAGTGATCGATGGTGGGGCAGGCGCGCCGGCGCGGCGAGGTTCACGTGATGATCGCGTGTAAAGTGAATCGATCAGCTGAGACGGCGAAAGTATGTGGCAGATGTGAACGGCGAGTGACCGATGCAGTGAGCGGTGAAAACGAGACAAGTGTTATAGTGAGGTGGTGAGTGAAATGAGTGAAGCGTGACAGTTGATATGGTGCATGACGTGATGATCGTGTAGTGAGTGATGCTATGCGTCAACGTGCGGTGTAGGAACGTCGTTCACGCCCGGAAGAAACACGAGCTTGACGAGTGGGCGCACGAGCTCGGACGTGGCCGTTCGGATCGTCACTACGCGTGTAACTCCATCGTCCCCGGGATGCAAACGCGATATGCGAGCGAGGGGCCATCGGTTCGGGGGGGTGATCTC